AAACACCCACAGTTTATATTAGGATGGTAAAAAAGTCCTGAGCCGATTTTTTGAAAGCTCCAGAACTTTCGCTTATTGGTCGATACCTAGAATCTGCTACGTGATAGACTATCGTTGTCGATCATACTTCTCCGCAATAGGTATATATTGCCGGGTTGCCTTCTTTAACTTTAATAATGATGGTGATTCCACAAGAACACTTTCGAGCGATCATCTTCAATGAATCGCGCTGCGGCACAGGAGCAGTGGGAACCGTCAACATTATCAGCATCGCATTGGGAAGGGTCACCACTTTCCATCATCAGTGCCAAGCTCTGGTTCGCAGGCTTCGAGGGAGGAGACACGGCTTTCAAAGAAAAGACAAGGTTGGGAAGCCCACAAAAGGTAGAAGACTCCACCGTTCTCGGCGCTGTCGAAGAGGATCCGGACGTTAGCACCCGCAGCCTTGTGATAAGACTCGGGTGCACCCATCCCACAGTCCTCGGTCCCCTTCACGCCCTCGCCACAGGAAAGTGGACTCAATGGATTCCTCATGTCTTGACCGATAGCACGCGGTTCAGGCGGGTACCCATTTGTCAGTTTCTCCTTCTTTGCCCGCACCGAAAGGGGTTTTTGGAAGGCGTGATTACGAGAGATGAGAGTGGGGTCCTATACGATTCTAACAAGCACGGTGCCGTGTGGCTCCCTCGAAGAGAGGGCCTGCCGACACAAGCAAAATCGGACCTTCACCCCAAAAGCTGTCTCCTTTGCTACCTCTGGGATTCGTGAGGAATGCTGTACTATGATATGCTCCCGTAAAGACATACCGCTACCGGCAGCATTTACGCCAGTCTGCTCTAGAAACTAGCGGACGCTGTTCAAGAAAAACGACCGAGACGAACTTCTGTCCACCTACTCCACGATGACGCCAGGCCCCACAAAGTTAAAGAGACCCGTGCAGAATTGGAAGAGCTGATCTGGGACGCGGTTCCCCATCAACCCTATTCCCCTTACATTGCCTTCTCTGATTATCACTTACTCTATCCCCTTAAGGGATCCCTAGCGAAGAAAGAATTCACCAAAGGTAAAGAAGTTGGAAGAGCGGTCAGCGATTTCTTTGACTCTCAGTCTGCTCTGTTCTGGGAGAAGGAAGTCGCTGAACTGCACATTAGGTGGGACTCTGTAGTGGGTAGCAATGGTGATTATATTGTTGGGTAGATTCCATTCTACGTGGAATAAAAAAGCAAAGAAAAAAAGTGTCAAACGGCTCAGGCGACTTTCTTACCACCTTCTAATTATAGTTATATCATTATTGAATGGACCATGCGCGAACCCCTATTCAAGAGCATTGAACAAAAATCTCACCTCTGAAAGCTGTCAGGAAAGGAGCTGCACGGCTTCGAAGTGGGCGTGACTGGAAGTCGGCTGACTAAGCAACCACGCCCTCTTCAAAGCCGCGCAGCTCCCTTTCTGGCAGCTTTCCAAGCGAGTTTTTTGCTCAATCACACTTCTTATGTTCTTGATTAGGGCTAGCGCATCGGGGGTTTTCCAACACCAAAATTGCGAATGTTAAAAAAATTCGTGCAGATTTTTCGAAAAAATGAGAGTAAAAAATTGTTAGTTTCTCAAACTGGATTTCCGTGTTAATAATCAGATTCGCGTTCACATGGGCCACAGTTTGCCGTTAGAGCCTTTTTCAAAAACATCCCCAAATGCAAGTTTTTGGGAAATTGATGTACTACTAATAATTATGCCATGCGTGTATGGGGCTTCCTGGTTGGCCTTCCAGTCTGTGTGCATACCATCACCGTTTTTGTTCTCACATTCTTGCTTGGGCAGATGCAGATTACTTGATCGCCTTAAAATCCTCATCTCTGACTATCCAGTCCGAATTCGGTCACAAGCTTAAAACAGCTTTCTTATTGAGCCTAGACCTAACATACTTCTTTTACATTGGGTCTTCACTACTAAACTCAGACATGCATAAACCGATTTGCAGTGATCTCATTTCTTGTAATTATCTCCATTGCTTTCGGAGATATTTATCTCTGACCATTTTCAGTTCATTCATAAAGAAGAAAAGTCAGTTCAGCTCAGCAGTACTTGGGCTAACCACAACTTCTCTTCTTTATAAAGACATTTTCAGCCAGAAACATCTGTGATTCTTCATTTTCCGTTTGTCAGGAGGGAAAAAAATGACATCAGTACTAATGCACAAAAGTAATCATGCTGGCGTATAGCAATTTTATCAACTGTTTACGAAACAGCCAAATGAACATTCGGTCAAATAAACACGTAAATTATATGACAGAGTGTTACTCGACATAGTGTAATACAATGCCAACAAGAATATGAAGTGCTGTTGGAACTTTGCTCAAGCCTTTCCTCATCTAGAACGAGATCTTCCTCTTGGATTCCTCCATGCTGAAACAACCACAAGTTTTTGCCTTAAATCATGGAGGGCTTGAACATTTAATACGAGAATTCTGAAGTTTTTGCAGATGCCCATTTACTTCGACCTTCAATTTACTCCCTTTGGGCGTAAACCAATTTAACATACATGAAAAATGTCAAACCACAGAGGCAACAGTTGCTTGGAAAAAAAATAAAAAGATGGATTTATCAAGTAACGGCAAACCACTACTAATTGTGGAGGAAAAGTCCTCCTGACGATGTCCCCAGACATTCAAATCTGGATTTCATTTCGTGAGTAATGCCAAAAATCGAAACAGCTGCATAAGTTCGTCTAAAAACACGTCAATTATTGGGTTGTCTCATAATTCCTGTCTCATTTCTATTCAATTTCAAAATTCTTCCGCCTAAGACCGTTTCATTGCGAAATACGTTAGTATGTTGAAGTGTGCTTCAAAGAGCCCTAACAGCATGGTTTACAAAAGCGCAAGCCAGCAACGGGCAACTAGGAATAAAGATAGGTCAGTGACTATAATGAAATGCTTCACGATCCTCCAAATGAACTCTGTAGCAAGGAGGACAACAGAGAAGATCAGCGCTGTGTTTGACTCAGTCTCTGCTACTGATAGGGTACTGAGCTAGTGGACCAATCGCAACGGCAAAGACGAAACGAGCTATGAACTTCAACCTCATACTGGGCCTGCGGTCATTTTTGATGAGCGCCCCTTGCACCCTAAATTGGGAGTGCCTCCGTACGTTGCTACCAGGGTATTGTAGCAGATACCTGAGCGCAGCCGGGATGCACCAGCACACACGCCATCTATATGAGCAGGACTGCTGCAGAATGAAGTTTTGATGGAAACCTTATGGTCCGGGCGACCATGAGCGGGAAGCACGCCTGACCATCTGGGGAATATCCATTCTGGGACGGCGAAAGCAGAGCCCTACCTAATCTCACCAGGAAAATAGTCATGAATCACGCACAACAACACGCATTCCAATTCCAGCCAGACAGCACCAGCTCAAACCCAGAAAGCCCCACTTACGGTTTTTCTAGAACATACCGCCTCGGTTCCTTGGATTCGCTAGGTGACTGATGGGGAAACCAAAACTTCAATGTAGGAAGACATCGTATTTGGCACATTTCTAAAGTCAGCGCGGATAGCTCCCTAGCTGGCTTCGGGGTTGCGAAGAATCGTCAGAAACGTCTCAGATTCTCCTTTCTCCGAATGTACGCCAGACCTCACATTGCAATGCCAACTCACCACGTTCTGGAGGGAGATAAGCCAGGGCCACCGATACCTTCAACTCACCATTTAACCATTGCATCCGCTTGTCGGATTAATCGCCTCCCTGCGCCCGAAAAGCATCTGCCACACGGAGAAAGTTAAAAGATTGCGAAATCACCGCCAAAACGAGTCTCCGAACCCCCAGACTTTCATTAATTCGGGCTTGGAGCTCCATAACCTCACGTTACAACACACGCGTTATCCATGACCAAGATGTGGTTTGTTATGGGATCAGTTGTTCCTATACAAGATAAAAAACTTGAATAAGTGTCGAAATTATACATGAATTATCGAAAACAACCCAAAATAAGTACACTTAACCGGTAGCAACCATGCGACCCATTGGGCGCCTGGGGGGATACTCAAGATCGTAAACATGAAAGATTTCGAACTTAGCTATCAAGGGCATTTGTGGTCCCGCCAGCAGTTTAAAGGCAGAATTCATGATGAAAACCTCCAGCATCCTGGGAATAAGTACAAGCGTCAGCTCAGCACGGGATAAAGAAACCATTCGGAAAACCCGAGAAATGGGACCCCTTTTTCGCGTTGATTTGCGCATTGATGCGACTCTCATCGCTGTGCCCTCTTCAACACTACGCTCTCTCTGCTATCTAATCACTCGCCACGTATAGACCTGCGGCGAGTGATTAGATAGTCGGTGGGCGTACCCCGCCAACCGCGCCAAGAGTGAGCCATGCTGATCGCCAAGGTCAAATCTTTCGCTGCCAATTGCGCGTCGACAGTACCCTCAGGAGGTCCGCCTGTCTCACATCTATGCATTTCCCCTTCCTTGATCTTCGTTGTATGTGAATCTTCCTTATAATTGCTCATTATGTTGGCATTCGCGCAACTTACCCTAGCTTAGGCAGGTTGTAGCTGTCAGTATATCAAGTCAATAACCACTGACAGACAGTATACACTGTCATTTATGTCAACTTATATAAAACCACGGAATCTGACGACCCTTCCCCCTAAAAAACCTAACACGAAAACTCTCTCCTCCCCCACCCATCAACAGAGCTCCATCTACAGTAATTGCTCCTGCACCTAAACTCACTCCACAAAAAGTGCATCCTTTGGGAAAGTGGGGATGGGGTATATGTAGCTTCCAAAACTGCAAAACTTTCTAAATTTTTCCACATTCCCCGAAAATCACTTTCTTCAATCTTCCAAGAACTTGCTCCATGTATTCCAAAAATGCGACTCTTTCTCCTCCCGTAAGGGCCCCCTCCCCACCCAAAAATGCAGATGTACGACCCTCGCGCTCGGAAAATCTCAACGGGTGGTTGACTGCTTGATCCTGCCTCCATGCTCTTGGGCAGAGAGAGGTCGTATCTAGTGAATTAGCATCGCAGGTCTGCAAGACATAAGAAAAGAAAATCTCACAAAAACAACCATGAATGTTTTGGTAATGAGTATTGCAGAGCGCGGCTCTTTAGTTTGTGAGTCAGCCAAGAGCAAAAACTGACCCTGCTCATGGTAAGACCCCGCAAAAGTCCCGATTTGGGGAGAAGCCAAACCCTTGGTTTATGAAAGATGTTATTTATTTACCTACCAAGTGACCAATTGCCTTCCGAAGAAAACGTCTGAAATACCTTGAAATTCTCAATAATCCGCTTAGAGTGTACAGACTTCGGTATCACAGCAATATTTCGTTCCATAACGTAACGCAGCAAAATCTGAACAAGGAAAATCAAAAAAAAATTCTTTCAAATTCATGGTTTTCCTTACTGAATGGTACCTGTGCTGGTGTTTTGTTGTATTTTTTAGACATCTCCTTCACATTGACGTCCTCGAGACAACTCGGGGCTGGTTGCCAAACAACTTTTCTAGAATTATTGCACTCATCGAACCTTTAAGTCCAGCATTACCCTCTTATAGTATATATCGAGTATCGTGAAAAACAGGATAATTACTTATCAGGGCAAATAATCACCAACAATACCAATTTAGTCAATTTAATTGATAATCAAGTAAATTATGTTTTTTTTCTGTCTTTACAATGCTCCGACAGCAAAAAAATGATAGAAGAGCTCACACTCCCTCAGCCTTGAAATTAACTCGACCAGGCGATCCCAGGGAACCGTAGGAAGTGACGGATATGTCGTGCTTCTTGCAGAGATCGTGTAAATGGTGTTGCGGCCAATAAATGTGCAGCTCCACCTGAAATTCATGTAGCTAGGAAAGAGTAAGGTCTGCTCACAATAGAGACCGCGTCCACACTTCGGACCGTCCTTCAACGCGTCTGCGCAGAAAGTCCCAATCAATCATGGACGAGCAAAATCAATGGTACGTTTATTGTGGAGGCGTCAGGCCGCTTCCAAAGTCGGAAGCGCCGCTCACCAGGCGAACCCTTCAACTTTCCATGGAACCTTCCCAATAGAACTTTGATTAAGACTCAGATATATCGATAGAGCTTCAAAGCCGATTAAATGTGGGAACTGAAACTGCAAACTGTACCTGTGCCAAGGAAATCGTGAGCAGTCAAAGTTGACTAGAAATAAGTTATACATACATTACATATGAACCGTGCTAGCATCCTAGCCTTTCACTGTGCTGTCAAAGTATTGGTAGGCAGGGTCAAGTGTGCGTTGAGGAATCCTCGACACGTCGCAGGGGGGGGGGTCGTATTGGCCCGCTGGGAGGAAGGGATCGGGCCGGATTGATGCACCACTGTCGGAGGACAAACATCAGGGATCGAGTCGATGCCATGGAAGGCCAGAGGACTTCCAGTACCAATGCTGTTCCGCCCACATAAAATTTTCGTGATTCAGAGGTGTGCGCGTAGTGATTTTTCACTACCTCAGAGTTTTATCTTTAAACTATCACTAACAAGTCAAAAAATCCAAAATTCGCACGTTTTCCAACGGATATTTTATCTTTCAGGTGAGTCCTCGAATCTCAAGGGATGTGAAGCACACGGCGCATACCAGAGTGGGCCCAGTTAGTTGCGCGCGCTTAACTACGGCTCTTGAGAGAAAAACTCTCAATTCAGAGAAAAATTAAGAGGATCCTGAAAGGGTCTGTGTGAGATTACATGGAGGAGTACACTATTGAGCAAGAAATGCAGCCTTCAGCGTCAAATTCACAAGCATGTAATCGTTAAAGTTAAGACACGCTAAACAATTTTACACTTCTTGGAAAGAGAAAAGAAAGAGGATTTCGAATCTGCTCCTACTTTAGTGTATAATTGCCCCTGAAAGGAGCTATAGTCGTTGGAGTAGTGCTAATGCAGCGAAAAAGTGACTTTCGGCGGTACTCGGGCAAAAATCCTCAACGTGGCCATTTTTTAAATTGTGGACGTTTTTAGCAGTCCTAGTAACCGTTGAATAGTGCAATTCTTCTAGTTTATGCTGACGTATTTACTTTTCAGATTGGATGGGTTTGAACGTAGTTATGGCCTTGGAAAGCGTAAAAACTCGCACTCATCGCAAATTTTCCTCGTTAATTTTGCAAAAATCCTCAACGTGGCCATTTTTTAAATAGTGGACATATAAAGCTGCTTTAGCAACCATTTGATAGAGAAAATCTTCTAGTTTTGTCTGACATATTAACTTTCCGGGAATGATGAAAAGGGAGCAAGTTACGGCCTCGGAAAGTGTAAAAACTCGTGCTCATCATGAATTTTCCTCGTTAATCGATCTAAATTTTTGTTATTTCTTATAAATTTTTGATTTCAATACTGGTTAGAAAGAGCTCTTTACAAAACTCCCAAATCTGCTTTCAGATTGAAATTTCGTCATATTTGAAGAAAGTTATAATCATTTGAATATTTGTTCAAATTTCAATAGTAGATAAGCTGCCCCACGGCCAACGCCAAAGATCAGTCAGCACAGCAGCTGGCTAAGACGGTTAAAAAGCTTCTTTCAACTGAAGGGGGACGTGTAAATTGATAACCGTACTCTGTGTAGTACTAAATTTTGGTAAGTCTTGTGAAGGAAATAAATAAAGAAGAGATGTTGTCATAGTATGCATTTTAGTGAGTAGTTTGAGGTTTTCTGCTGCTTTTTTCGTTTGCTCGTTTGGTAGGACTCATCAATAATGATTATTTTTGACTTTTCACTTTTGTACTTTTTAAAAGAATTTTCGGTTGACGGTGTGATAGCAGGGCTTTTTTTATGAAGTTTTGGGGGAGAATTAGACAACCTTTCCATAGTTCGGCTTTTGAAGAGGGGGTCGTTTCATGGACTTCGGCCTCTGGCGGAGGGAGGGGGGGGTCGTATTTCCAAATTTTCCTCGACGCCTCGCTTGACCCTGATTTCGCAGTCGCTCTTGAAAATGCTCTGATTCACTAAAGCGGGAACTCGGCGACATACCGTTGTAAGAGCGAGAGCAACTATATTCTCCAAGTCGCGATTCTGAAAAACCTGGACCCGCCAGCATGGTTCATATGTAACAGTCAACTTTGACTGCTCACAACTTCCTTAGCAGGTTCATTCTGCAGTTTCAGCTCCCATATTTGTGATCAGCTTTGAAGCTCTATCGACATATCTGAGTCTTGATACAGAATTTCATGGGAAGTTTAATGCCTTTCCTAGTCAGGATTCTACATGGTCCACTGTCGAAAGAAACCGTCATCTCCAGTACCGTACTATCACAACGCCTTATGCAGTTTGCGCCTAGAATATTTGTAATGAAAACTCTGAATGGTACGAATTGGCCATCTCTAGAATTTTTCTACACATTGGCCTCATCCTGTTACCGAGCCATTTTATCGCTGGCCCCATTCTTCTCCTCAGGTTCCGGCCTCACCTACAAGAAAAATTACAACAGGCTCAACAGGTGATTACAAAAATACTAACAATTAAAAAATGATTGGTCAAGAATAAGAGGTGATTGGTTTCGCCTCTGACTCAGGCGAACCACTATATGTTTTGGCAACCCATAGTATAGTATAGTATTACAAACCTAGTTAACTGCCTCTAGGCCGATGTCAGACTTTGCGAATGGCGCGATTCGCTAGCGTTCCGGCGGCGCATTGCGGATCAGCCTAGGCCGATGTCAGACTTTGCGAATCGCGCGATTCGCTAGCGTCTGCGGTCGCGTCGCGGCCAGTGAATCACTCAATTGGCTGGTACCGCAACGCGACCGCGGACGCTAGCGAATCGCGCGATTCGCAAAGTCTGACATCGGCCTATGATCACTGACCGCCGACGCCAACCCTGACACCTAGCGAATCGCGCGATTCGCAAAGTCTGACATCGGCCTTAGCGAGCATCACGAGCCACGTCTCGTATTAATGTTGAAATAAAAAGGTGCCCTTGTACCACTGTCTGCTGCGAGGTGCGGCAGAAAGGTCACCTCCAGAGCTTGTTAGCATTTTTAGTTGTTCCTTGTTTGTCTCTTTTTTCTCCTTCTGCCGTTAATGCAACAGTAGTACTGAGCCAGCGCTTAGGAGTTTTTAGTGCCCTTCTAATCAATTATTCGCATACCGGGCCAGGGATGGTCCGCTTTTTCCAACAGCGATTTTCACTGTTATGCCTGACATGTGAAAAATGAATGAAATAGATCACCGGAGAGCAAAAAAACTGTAAAGAAGATACGTATCGATTAGAAAAATCATTTAAAGATGTGTGGCACGCCACACCGCATTAATATTCATAGTTAAAATGAAAATTTCAAGAAAAAGTTATTTTTACTTAAAAAATAACGATTCACCTAGGCCTTTTCAAAGTTCCATATTAATTCACATTTTTAAAGTTCGATTCTACCCACCTACTATCTATGTTCCCTCAAGAACTGTGGATTCACAGACGTTCGAGATCTAACCAGGAAGGTCTTTCAGGACATGGAGCCCTTTTTGAAAACGGTTTTTTGCATGATAAAGGGGCACATGCATGGAGTACAAAACTAGGCTCCATTTTTTCTGAGCGGCCCTGTGAGTGCCAAAAAAGGTATGAAAAATTGGTCGAGGGATCGGTCCCGGCTGATGACAAAATTTTGCATTTCATGTTAGCGCATGTTAAATGACTCCAAATGTTACCGCCGATAAAAATAGGTACTGTTCTTACAATCAGGGTCATCATCAACCTTTCTGATTAGCTTTCTGCCCAGAATTGGGGCGAAAATTGTATGGCGCTAAAGCGGCGCCGAGTTGGTGCCCGAGGAGGCTAAAATGGCGCAATATCGCGCCTCCATCAAAAATGGACGTCAGATTCGTAATCAGCGCCTATAATTACCCTTATAGCCGCAGTTTTAGAGAAGATCAAGATTTTGGCCCGAATTCAAAAATTGGGCCATGGGTTAGCCCATAGTCAGTACGGCATGCACGCTTCCCACTTGGAGACAGCTTCGAGATGATAGCAAGCGGACACGTTTGGTTGATAGTTACACTTCCACCGCAGTTCCTGCCCATGGGGCAATCTGGCATCACCCCTTGATCTCGTCGATGCATGGCGTATGCCTGGGTGGGCACTGGCTACGTCGACGAGCATCCTGGACGTTCCTCAACGCCGGCAATCTGCCTTCAAGGGAAATGGAGTAGGTGTTCCTTGCGAAGAAAATGACAACTTCACTTTTCTGGCGTTCGTTAGATGCAGTTGGGGGGGGGGGGGGGGGGGGGGGGGGGGGGGGGGGGGGGGGGGGGGGGGGGGGGGGGGGGGGGGGGGGGGGGGGGGGGGGGGGGTGATCCGCGCCTGTGATTCAGATGCTTCATTGAGTTTTACCATAACTGCTAGTTATTTATTGCTTGTAAACGGAATTTCGTACACAACTGAAAAAACATGGTACTACGAAACATCGCAGAATTGGGGAGAAAGTTCATGGAAATGACACCTATAGGCTTTAAGTTCACGCGCAAGCACGTGCAAATGCAGAAAAGTGATAATCGGAAAAATGCAAAAGTCCGAGCATGGAGGGGAACCGAACCAACAACTTCGAACAAACCGTGCCAACCAGAGTCCATCACGCTATCCACTCGACCATCCGACCACCGCTGTACGATGAATGTCAACGACTCTGATGAAACTTCCTTGTGCTTTTGAGCACTTATTATGTACAATTTTTGTATTGGCTTTATTCCACGCTGTTTTCAAAACGTTCAAGTGAAGAAAAAAACCTTCTATTGTGCGTCCACTTAACATACCGAGTGATATAAAGAACGTTGAAGGTGTGAAAACTCCGATTTCTGAAGAAATTTTTTTCACTCCTTTTTTGGCATCCAGAGGGCCGCTCAGAAAAAATGGAGCCTAGTTTTGTACTTCATGCATGTGCCCCTTTATCATGCAAAAAACCGTTTTCAAAAAGGGCTCCATGTCCTGAAAGACCTTCCTGGTAGTGGCAACACGTCTTGGTGTGAGATTGGTTAAAGTGTAAGAGCAGGTCAAACTCTATCAAAGAATAGCTGTACCCTGGCAATTATGAATTGGTACCGTTGCTGACTCCATCACGCGTTCAATTTGCTCGCCACTCCAATTAGAGACGCCGATAGCTTTAACCAACCCCTTATTGTACACACCTTCCAATCCGCGCCATATATCTTTTACGGTCACCGCATGATTTTGCGCTGTCATGTCATGCTGAAACAAAGAACTACGATTATAGAAACTTTGAGTTAGATCAATCGGCTGCGCGGAGGTGTTTAGCGGCATAGGTCGCCACTTCTCTCTGTGCACACGATCCGTGGGTCAAATCTTGGATCGAATTTCGTCCCGGCCAACCAAGCCTTCCATCCTTCCACGGTCAGTCATGAGACCAGACCTGCCCGGGAGGATAAACACTGACTTAAACATCGGCAGCGCCCCAGAAGTAGTTTGGATAGGTCACACCGCAAAAATATATCAGCTGCCGCATTCGATTTCGATGAAAAAAAATTTTTTGGCGAGGCGCATCTCAAAATGGCAAAAAAAATGGTGTGGTGGTAAACGCCGAAAAAAAAATGGTTGTAAACGCCGAAACTACTGCCCTTCTTATGCATTACAGCAAGAGTTGCCCTCATGGGTATTTATGCCCAAAACCAAGGTGGACCAAGAGTCTCCTTTGAAACGTGCTCAGAAAAGTAACTGTGGAAAACACCGAACACTACAGTACTAGCACCAACACTACTAGCGCCACACCAAACTGGCGTTTCTGTACAACAGCGCCCTAATAATCGCACAATCCGGATCGCGGTTCTAATGGAATTCCCGCTAGCCATACTTTCGATGTTCTCAGCCACGACAATTGTACCCCCAGTGCTTTTGTCTGCGTAGGTATAAAAACCTGAGTAGTGCATCGGCAGATCTTAGGAACTTATTAGATCAACGGCCGAGTCCACATTCAAATCTATTAATAACCCCCACTGGGAAAACAGGGTGGCGTGCGCATACCTGGCGAACAAAATCAACCTCAAACGTCGAATTCTCTGTCCTTTTTCAAACGCGTGATCCACGCCGAATTTCTTCGCCTGTCCAACTATTTGGAAGAAAATTATGAATAATCCCACTACAGAAACACTTCCACAACTTCGAAGCTTCTCGCTGTGAATGTGATAAATTGCGAATAGACGAAGGTGACTATCTATTCATTTATTCGATGTAGTTCAACTGATTACACCCTCTGAACATTGAAACGTCTGTCAAACTAATAATTATTATATGATTCGAACAAAAGATAAAAGGTGAAGCCCGGGTTCATCAAAATATATGTTTAGAATCGTACTCGACACCACTTCCATTCGGAAGTTAAGTGTTATAAGTTTGATTTAGGCCTATACAACGATGATCGGCCGAGTGTGCAAAAATCACATCAATCTCAGTAAACAAATTTCGTAACCGGTTTACCCGAAATCTGAAGGTTTTGGTTGCCAAGAACCGGTCGTAACGACCCGGCGTATTTTTCCTGAACCTTTTGCAACAGGAGCGCTGCTAGCCCTACATGCCAATTCCGCCGCTGATTCAAAAAAAAAAAAACCTAATAAAGTTAATATAACAAAAGTGAAACACCCGAGCAATTTAGTCAAATCGTTAGGGTGGGCGAGACTGTCAGTAAGTAGTACGGAGTATGTAAAAAGTTTCTCAGCCGTGTAACCAGGGTCAACCGTCACGTTCGAACATTTTCGGGATTTTTGCGACCCCCTAGCTCTCGAGGGGGTCCAGTTGCGACCCCTGTTTTTGTTAATAAGAGTGCTAGACATGAATCCGTTGCGCCAGAAAGCGTCTGCGCGTCGTCGCGTCGGCCTTGGAGCGCGGCAGGTATCACCCGGGCGCTGGGAAGAACGGGACGCGGCGAAGAAAAAATTTTAGAGGGGAATAACTTTCTTGGGACGTATTTTTTGACTTGTTGAGGTAGATTTTGATTGTGCCTGAGGTGCGCTTCCAGAAAACTACAAGGATTGCCTAACTCTCCGGAAAGTACTTCTGTTAGAAGTGGAAAACCCAAAATTCTAAGAAGGCGCACCTTCAACTTTGAAGGCCCATAAAATCTTTCGTATGCGACATTTTGGAAATCTGTAAAAAGTTTCAGAAACTTCAAATATTTCTCTAACAAAATAGTATATAAAAGTTTAGTGATTGTCCCCTTTTTCAAAAAATTGTCCCGTTCGAACATTTTTCGTGCAAAAGCGAGTTTGGGCTTTCAGCGACGCATAAATCATCGCTTCTTTCATTCTGTGATGCAACTTTTTTCATGAGGTGAAAGTGGCAGGATTTGCTCTTTCTGACAAGCCCAAACCGTTTTTCAAAATCCATTTTCCGAGAAAATCACACGTTCGAACATTTTGTTCCCATAGGTTTTTGAGCAGCACATGCGAGTTTTTGAGCTTTCAGCAATAATAACTTCCTTCAAAGAACTTGTTGGGGAGGGCGAAGACATTTTTGAAGACTACGAGATTTCTGCTTTCTTATGTGTTTTACCGTTGTCTGGAAGAATCGTCCTCAGAAAATCAGGTCCCGAAGAACTTTAATTTCAGCCCCGAGAAGTCAAACCTTTCATAGGGATGCATTCAACTGTTCTCTATTCCTCAAGGAAAACACCGTAATTTGCCAAAACTGTCTCTCTGTGCATAATTAATCGAATCTAATGCGGTCTGCACAAACAATTCTTGCCCTCGGATACGCCACGCACGCGCCTGTGGCTGGCAGTCCTCGAAATTGCGACCCCCTTCCGACCAAAATGCGACCCCTTCGTTCGAACAGTTCGAACGGGAGGACGGTTGACCCCTGTGTGTAAATGTATCTTATACGCCAAACATAGCAACTGCGGTTGTTCTGCAATCTTCCTCATCTCTTCTTGATCACACCAATTTGGGCACGATTTTTGAGGTAAGATGAAAAGCTGACTTTTTTGTCTCAACTTATGAGCTTTCCTGACCAAGAAACCGGTCCAAACACATTCAATGATCCCCAGTCGATCCTTTCTGTCCGACCACGACTAGTGATGCCTCGAATGCAGTTTACTTACGTTAAAGCACGCTGGTGCATGTGCGAGGTAAAGGTCGATGTAGTCCAGTTGAAGCCGACGAAGCGATTCGCGAGTAGCACCTTCAACGTCATCCGGGTGAAAATGTGTGGCCCATAGCTGCAATCCATGATTTACCGTTTATTCCAAGCTCCTGAAAGTCAGATTAGATTTGAAAATTGAGTGTCACTTGTGGTTGACCAGAGGTTCAGCGGAGAATTAAGGGCCGTAAAAAAGGCACAGCATGACAGAAAATTTCAGCTGTTCTTGAATGCGCCTTATACTGTACTTTCATTTGAAACGCATGCGCCGCAATAGACCCAACTACATTTAAAATATTTTCAGAGAATGACCAAAACAAGAAGTAAAATCGACAAATGGAATCTGCACCTTTGTGGTGATGAAGAGCTCTTCACGTTTGACTTTTCCGGCTTGAATCAATTCCTTAATTGCTTCTCCAATAGCTTCTTCATTGCCATAACAAGCAGCCGTATCAATCAGACGATATCCAGTCTCGATGGCAGTTTTCGTAGCCGCTTTTGCCTCAGCAGGAGAAGACTGAAACGGATGGAAGTCATCAACTGTTCAGTTAGTGATGAAATGAAAGGTGGGATTTGAATGATTTGAAGAGAAGCAGTAGAGTTGAACAATGACCTTTGCGCTCACGCATATCACATCTATTTGATAACGTCTCTGACCCCACTCTGAAATATAAAATGAACAGTTGTATTGATGATAACAATCACTAAACCCTTCATATGGACGTCAAAGACGAAAGAGTACCTTTTGAGACCGACCAAACTCACCGGGAAGCGCCAGGTGTTCCACTTATATTTGGTTTCGTACAATTGTTCGGATGTGTACTTGCAATCAACCTTTATTATGACTTTTGAGGGATCGCCGCTATTGAAGTCAGTGTTCTCATTCTCACAGACAGATAGTGATGGCCGAAACCAGTATGATGGAAGGCTTGATGCTTTCAAAGTACTGCAGCGCAGACTACAACATTATGAATCATCACAACAGGGCCAAAACTGGAGAATGCGACGACAGCTTTCAACAGCAAACCCTTACATGAATTGATTCTACGTCTCTTATAATTCAATAAATTCGAAAACACGGGAAAGGAACGTTTTCCAAGCGGATTCCATTAGCTGCACCATATATTGTCTGTACCATTGAGAACATTCAAAATCTATTAATATTCATAGGAATGAAATGCATGGCGCATCCCGAAGTGGTGGTAAAACACACACCCCACTCTTTCCAGTTTATGTGCGCGAATTTATAGCCATACAGCTTAACTGACCTACTTTCTAAAAAAGTCACCAATTTTTTTACTAACATGCCGTGCTCTCGGAGCCGAAGCAGAAGCAGGAGCCGAAGTCAAAGAAGAAGAGGCCACAAAAGCCGAAGCAGAAGCGGAAGCTGGTCCCGATCGACGTCCAGACGACGACGAAGGAGTCGCCGAGGAAAGGACATGTCGCCTGGTGCGGAATCCCATTCGAGACGTCGCCGCAGAAGAAGATCTTCACGACGATCGAGCAAACGCCGAAGCTCCCGACGCCGTTCCAGAAGAAGATCGCGTCGTAGCCGCAGCAGCCGTTCAGCCTCACCTGGCGGCACCACGACGAAGAGAAGGAGGAGGCGTCGTCGCGGCAGCCGTGCTTCGAAACGATCTGGCCGAAGACGACGAATGCCGAAACGTAACGCTCGTGGACAATTTGTGAAGGGGTAGCCGGGGAGCCTTCCATTCCTACTAATTCCATCAGCTCACGAATAAAGGTTTCCTCGAAAAAAAATTCTACGTGTGAGAAAGTGATAACTCACCATCCATGTCCCAAGTCCAACCTGTGGCATCTGCACGCCGTTGGAAAGTGTGATCGTCGGCCCTCCAACAGTCATTATCACCTGGAATGTCACATTTTTTTCTTTAATTCTTTAATTCATAAGTCAGTCAGCGAATGAAATCCAACAAGTGGACAAACTAGGCAACTTCAACTGACGTAAAGTAGTGACATGGAAACTAAGTAAACAAAACAACTAACAAGAACTTATTTCTAGAGCATCCTAGTGGGCATAGCCTTTGCCTTTCCGCCACCCTATAGTAGAAATAGTAATCGAAGAGTAGTTCGTGGCAGTAAAAGCTGGCAACACATACTCACACTGAGACAATAATATGAGGTGGGTGGTGCTAGGGATAACACCACTTGACATGGGCACTACATAGGCATACATGTTAAATCGGATTTTGGTCCTGTTAGGTATTCCCTACCCCTAACAATCCGATCCCCGGCTCACCGATGAAGCGACTCAAAATGGTGAGTGTGCATGCTTTACTACGAGCCTGACATGAGTAGATGGTCGAAAACTCATCACAATTCAACATAGCTAATCGCCGACAAGGATAGGCGGACTCAAGGCAAGACCAGCAACAGTCGGATGCATTGGCAAGAAAAGGACACGGAAAAAAGAGCAATAAGAACTAACAAGACATAAGGAAATTCAAGGCTAGCGAAACTGAAGAAGAGCCAAATGTTGATTGAGCTGGACCACGACACACGCCATTAGGCCGATGTCAGACTTTGCGAATCGCGCGATTCGCTAGCGTCTGCGGTCGCGTCGCGGCCAGTGAATCACTCAATTGGCTGGTACCGCAACGCGACCGCGGACGCTAGCGAATCGCGCGATTCGCAAAGTCTGACATCGGCCTTAGCAAGAGGAACGCAACAGAACGATTCTTGGTCATTTAATAGTGAACATCTCTGAATTCCCCAATAACTCTGAGGCTGCAATGATCGTGGGGTGGTTGAACACACGAAATGTCTTGATCGAGGCGGCTGAGCACGGTCACCTGACATGTGCACGGGTTTCGGTTCCTAGCAAAACCTACGAGTCGAGATCGTGAGTACTGTAGTGTGAACTGGTCAACACAGCACTTACTCAACCACACATATACTCTCTGCTTCCGAAACCAGATGCGCGTCGAATGCAGAACACACACCACAAATGACGACACCCTCCGAGTAAATCTGGTTACTAGTGGTTCATAGTGATAGCTGACAGTTGGTAAATGATAGTTGTAATTAGTGACAATGATAGAATACAACTGCAACAGGCTAATCATTTCATTGGCAGAAAACATTTACATTTTGTGAAGGCCGTCGTCACTTGTGGTGTATGGTCTGCACCCGACGCGCATTGGTTTCCGAAAGCAGATAGTATTATCCGAGTAATTTTTTTTGCTTCTTTACTCCGCTGCTTTGATGTGTTCCGATGTGTTGTATATCGCAGAAGTGCCTGAATAGAGGCTAAATGTCTTGGTTACGGTAAAGAGCTTTAAAAGGCCACATTTGCGACGCAATATGTGGACCTATGAGTCCGAAAATGAATCCTTTGTGGTGACTCTCAAGTAAAGTAGATAGGAACAACCGAAAAGAATTTTGATAGAGCTCTGAATATCCCAGTCAGCGCTGCTCGTATGGGTGGAGTTTGCGTGCGCGAATCCCATTGGTTGACTCTGTCACTACCTTATTTGTAATTTTAGAAAAACGGCACAGACAATGGGATTTCCTTTTAGGTTTTCCTATTCTACAATCAACGCGTTGTGTGATGTAAAGAATCCCAAGCAATTTTTTGATTTTTTTTTTCTTTTTTAGGTGACCACTTTCCACACCACTTTCGTTTTCGAGCGCAATGGCCACCACTTGTTCCATCGTGGAACTTGTCTTCGCAGGCATAGGGTGCGGTTTGCTAAGACAAAAAACTACTTTTTTGCACGCTTCGTCTCAAAGCGGAACTTTTTGGCGACGGAGCCCCCAGATCACCATTTACCAGGAGTGTGACCTTGGAGTTTTCCACGCCAGTAAGGTTTTCACGGAAGCGGGGAAGTTGCCTTTTTGTCCCAGGTACCACATAAAAGAACACAACCTAGAATTTAGGATGAGCGCGGAAATGTATGAGTATAAGCTGAAAGGAGCAGGAAACCTGGGAGAACGGGATAGCAGGGTCACCAAAGCGCCTAGAAATAATATTATTTTAAGGCGCAGAACGGCTGATCTCTACCGTCGTGGTCGTCCGCCACCGTGGTGTGTAGCTAATCGAATCATCTAAGTTGTCTCGGTGGTCTGCATGCTCACTTGCTTTGCAGAATTTCTTTTTCTCCTTGACGTCTATTATCTTTCGTCTCGCTATCTGTCATTATCTTCTTCTATCAGATTTTAGAATTTTACTTTCTGTTGCACTCACCGGGTTTCTCTTCGTTTGCTTAAAGTAGATTCGACGGTTAAAGTGCGGAAGTCAGAGGGAAAGACAGGTGAGCCACCGGGCTGCGGACCAAACACGCATTTGCAGGAACCGTTGCCCCAACGATATAGTATAGCACTCCGCGGCCAGGGTCAATCCCTACGTTGTTACTAGTAACAACGGGGGGGGGGTCGTACCTGGTGAGTTTATAGGAGGGGAGGGTGGGGGTATCCGCTTCAGTCGCGTGAAATTACATGTGAGTTTGTGGTGAAAGTGAGTTAAGTGAGTGGAGTTTTCACGAGTAGTAGGCTAGGTGAGTTGGGAGCGCATGGGAGAAAAATTCGCCGTTTCAGCGTGCGTATATACCCCCCCCCTCCGCTCGACGGCATTTTTGGAGGAAAAAGTGGGCGGAGTTTGGTGGGTTGAGTGGTACCAGAATTAAATACTATAGAGAGGATGATGGTGGTCGAGGTGTCGAAAAGGGGGTCGTACCAAAGTCCACCTTGGGGGGGGGTCGTAAAAAATTTTGAAAAAGTAACAACGATAGGACCGACCCTGCTCCCGGCTCCGCTATAGCCCTGCTCGCCCACCCCCTTGCCGTCTGGCTCTTGCCGCCTAGCAGAGAGATAGCGCTGGAATTGGTGAGGTAGCATCCATGAGACAGGCCTAACGCGCAAAGCAACGGGTGAAAGCGAGTCTCATTTCTCGGGTTCTGATTTGTTTTCCTTGGTTTTCGTCATCACTGCATCACTGATCACCTCTACCTTTATTTCTAGGAGGCTATCTTTCTATCGTGAACTTCACTACTGATGAGCGGACTATTCGCACTTCTACTTTCATTATCGAACGCACTTACTTTTCAAACCCTGCTTTCAAACCCGCACTCATGCATCTTCACATACTTTTCACTACTCTAACTCCTCACACGTCTTTCCCATGTGCGGTGAACGAAACGGATCTCAGCTGGTTCAAGTCCCATCGACGGCAGAATTTTTCAGAACTCGTCACCGTTTGAAACTACCCAAGAACTTACCCAATCGGCTATCTGGATAGTTGGACCTTGAAGGAAGCGATTACGATAAGGAATTTTCGCATCGGGGGAGAACCTGCGCCACACGGAGCAATTACTTGGCTGCCAAGGAAGCGATGTGTGGCCCTCCCACGGCGAAAGGTGCTGTGGTTGCTGAGCAGGACCCGCGTGACGCCCCGCCCCCAGTGACGTGACGCCCACTAGTTTTGTTGATGATCTGGATGGACTGTTTGCTGTTGGCTTTTCATTTTGGATGATCATTTCCCTTCTAGCGGCTGTATCTTCCAACTTGCCCACGTATTGCCTTATC